CCGGCCCGCCGCGCCTGCCTCTGCCCCTGGCCGCCTGGAGCCTGGAGACTCGCCCGAGTGCGCACGGCCCCCGAGCCCGCGCAGAAGCCGGGGTCCTTCCGGCTCCCAGGGCTAGAGCGAAAACCCGAGGGGCCTGTGTTTCCCTGCCCGCCCGGGCCCCGCCCCGCTCAGTGACGGCCAATCCTTCCGTATCGCAATGCAAGGAAATCGAACCGAACGAATTACGTGTCCACACGGTCCCTGGCACAGTCTTAAAGCTGAAAGGGTTATTAGAGATCATCCAGACCAGGGCCGCAAACATAATTTAGCTTTTCTAGGAGCCACATCAAAGGAGCAAAAAGAAACAGGTGACATATATTTTTAAAAAATATTTAATCCAGTATATGCAAAATATTTCAAAATGTGATCAGTATTAAATTTGATTCATAAAATATTGTATTTCCTTTTTCTGTCCTTGACACCCGGTGTGTATTTTATTTTATAATAAAATGTGACTAGTGTCTTATTGTGTTGGACTGCACGGATCATTTCATAGGGAAAACAGGCCCAGAGAGGTGAAATGATGCAAGTCCAAGGGTAAGAGCTGCTTAGTGATAGAGCCAGGTTCTCTGATTGCCAGTCCTGGACTTTTAATATTCCCTGGGACACTATCAATCTTTTTCTGTTCGTTTGCCATTTTTGAAATAATTATTTTTATTTAACTTTATCCATTTATTTATTTATTTTAATTTGACTACAGAGGAACAGAGTGAGAGAGAAAGGGGAGAGAGAAAGAAAGTGAGAAAGCAAGTCGCCTAGCCCAGGACTCGAACCCTGGTTGGCCATGTGGGAGTCCAGTGCCCTTAACCACCATGCCATGCCACCTGTCAGTACCCTGTTTGTTATTTTTAAGAAAAAATTTTCAAGGTGAAACGAAGTTTACCAACATCTTGCACATACATACAAGTTGAAATATTTCAAATTCTCTTTTTTTTTTGGTAAATACAGGCTCTTTTTAAATGATTTAATGAACTAACTTAGGAAAGGTTGGGCCTCAAATAGATACTATTCCTGTTTTCTAGCTGAGAACATAGATATGGAAAGTTTATATACGTTTATATATGTAATGGCTATGTCACTGGACTCCCATGTAGTCGACCACACAGTTCGAGTCCCGGACCCGGTGGCTTTAACTCACGTCGGGGCACATGCACGTGCGTGCCCAAGATCCAGAGAGGAGAATGGAGAAGGGATTGCGGCATGGCCATCCCCCCCATCCCCCAGGGTTGATTTCTCGCTTTTTGTCTCTCTTTCTGGTGAGCACAGACCCTACATCCCTGTCCATCACTGCCAAGAGGACTGATATGTAGCAAAAAGTCAGGCAGGTCACGTCCTGATTCTAATATCTACAACATGCCACATGCACATTCTAATACAGTCTGTCATGAAAAGTTCTTCATTATACTGATATATAAATCTTACCCTTTCTGGGGCCAGTCCCCATCATATTCTCCTTCTAAGTGGTCTTCCCAGTTTCCTCTTCAGCCCGTCCAGTCTCTAAAGGAATTTCAATTCAACAACCATACTCTGTACCAGACTGAACTCATCTATCAATGTATACCAATCTCTACATTCAGAGTGTCACCCATGGAACTTAGTGTATCAATTTTTATTTTATTTTATTTTGAGAGAGAGAGACTTGTGCTATATTACAGTATACAATACCTTTTTATTAACTATGGTCACTATGCAGTGTGATAGATCACTAAAACTTAATCTTCCTGTCTAAGTGAAACTACTCCTTGACCAACCTCTCCCCTTTCCCTCAGTCTCTAGTAGCCATCTTCTTACCGTTTCTGTGAGATCGACTTCTTTTTTAAGTTTATTTATTTTCTTTCTTTCATGAGAGAGAGATAGGCATCCTCACCACACTGTGATACCCTTCCCCTGGTCCTCTAGCCAGCCAGGATTTGGGTGTTTGCATACCCAGCGTACTTCAGGTTAACATAGGATCTAAACCAGTGAACAGCCATGTGGCTCCTAGCACCACAGGTGAGCACTCTACCGCCAGTACCATCACAGCTGGTCAGAGAGCTACATTTTTAGATTCCACATGTAAGTAAGGTCATGCAGTCTTTGTCTTTCTCTGCCTGGTTTATTTTACTTATCCTAATATCCTCCACTTCCATTCATGTTGTCGCATATAACAGGATTCCTTTCTTTTCTGAGGCTCTATAATATTTCATTGTGTGTATATACCATACATTCTTTATCCATTCACACATTGTTAGATACTTAGGTTGCTCCCATTTCTTGGCTGTTATGAATAACACTGAACTAAGCATGAGAGTATAAGGAACATAAATAACACATCGAGAAAACAAATAGCCTATTTAAAAACAGGCAGAGGATCTGAACAGACATTTCTCAAAACAAGAAATAATCGGCTATGAAAAAAATGTTCAACAGCTCTAATCATTAGAGAAGTAAAAATTAAAGCCACAATGAGCTAGCACCCCACACCTGTATACAGGGTGGCTAGTATAGGGACTAGAAGGTGGCATAATGGTTATATTGCTGGATTCCCATGTAGTCAACTGCAGTTCAAAACCCGAAGGCTTAAAATTCACAATGGGCACATGTGGTGCATGCCAAAAATCCTGAGAGGAGAGTGAAGAAGAAGCGACTGTGGCATGGCCATCCCCCCAGGAGGCGATTTCTCACTTTCTGTCTCTTTTCCTCCTGCAAGCACACACACCCTATAGCAAAAATCTCTTCCAAAAAAAAAAAAAAAGGGACCAGCAGTTAGCGTAATGGCTTTGTCGCTGGACTCCCACATAGTCGACTGCGGTTCGAGTCCCGAACCCGGTGGCTTACACTCACGCCGGGTGCGTGTGCGTGCGTGCGTGCCCAGGATCCCAAGAGGAGAATGGAGGAGAAGGGATTGCGGCATGGCCATCCCCCCTGGGGGGTGATTTCTCGCTTTCTATCCCTCTGTCTCTGTCTGGCTGGCTAGCACACGCGCCCTAGAGCAAAAACCTCTCCAAAAAAAAATGGCCATTATTAGAAGACAAATGACAGGGAACCAGCAGAGGGCGTAGCAGTTCCATCACTCCTACATGGTCGACTCTGGTTCAAGTTCTTGACCCAGTGGCTTGAAAATCATGCCAGGCACATGTGCATGCATGTCCGGGAGGAGAATGGAGGGGGAAGGATTGAAGCATGGCCATTCCGCCTGTGAAGGAGGGATTTCTCACTTTCCCTTTCAGTGTCTCTGTCTCCAGTGAACACACATGCCCTAAGGCAAAAACCTCAAAAAAAAAAAAAAAAGACAAATGACAAATGACAAATGATGGGACCAGTAGGTGCTCTCGTGGTTAAGGTGCTGGATTCCCACATGGATGATGGCAGTTGGAATCCCAGATCTGGTGACTTCAAACACGCCAGGCATGTGTGCGTGCATTCCCAAAATTTCAAAAGGAGAATGAAGGATTGTGGTGTGGCCATTCCCCATGAGAGGTGATTTTTCACTTTCCCTGTCTCTGTCTCTGTCTCTCACTAGAGAGAGACAGAGAGACCCTATGGCAAAAAACTTAAAAAAAAAGAATGATAATAAGCAATGGCAAGGATGTAGAGAAAAGAGGACTCTTGTACACTGTTGATGGGAATATAAATTAGTATAGCCATTTTGGAAAACAGCATGGAGATCCTATGAAAAACTAAAAATAGAATAATATCATATGATCCAGCAATCCCACTTCTGGGAGTATAACTAAATGAACTGAAATTGATATGATAAAGCCATATCTGCATCCTATGTTCATTTTAGCATTAGTATATAGTCTTTAAGGATATTTTTCTACTTCATATTTCTACCACAGAATTGTAAACAGGAATTATGTCTCAAAGATACCTGAGCTCTTAAGATCTTAGCAACAAGTTTTTCTTTGCACACGTTTGTAAAATGAATAAACATATTTTTTATGGACACAGTACTCATCACTGAAGAGCAGGCCAAAAACAATGAGAGACACAATTAGGAAAAGGGGAAATCCTAAGATTCAGAAGGAAGCAATCTGATATGAATCATCTTATTATTTCACTCTGATGCAACAGCCTATAACCTGAGGAGGCTCAAAAGTGTCAATGTTATCATGATGTAAATTCTGTCCTATAAAACTCAAAGTCATGCCCAGAACAAATTTCTTTTTTTCAAAGTAACTACATAGCTTTATTTCTTGTGAACACATAATATTAAAGAATTATTTTACTTAACTTATTTATTTATTTACTTATTTTTTAATTTGACGAGAAAGGGACAGAGCAAGAGAGAGAGAGAGTGGGAAAGTAAGAAAGCTAGCCACGAGGTCTGGGACTCAAACCGTGGTGGTTCATGTGGGAGTCCAGCACCCTTAACCACCATGCCACCTGCTAGCCCCAACCAGAACAAATTTCTAACAAACATATAACCAGAAACACTATCTATATAAAACAGTATTATTACTTTATTGTCTTGATTATATCATTTTTCTTTCATATTTATAAGGGATTTTAGAACATGCAAAAATTTTATTCATGTAGTAAGAATATCACTGAAGTTTTCCTAAGAATCCTTCAAGTTGGTTTTTGTATGAGTTTACTTCTTCAAATAGGCCTGCCCTAACACTAATCTTACATGTGTTAGGATTCACATACTAACCAATTAGTCATTCAATAACTATTTAAAGAACACCCACCGGGTACCTAGTTTAACCTCAGATTTCCGAGAGCTTAGCCTCCCAATTATTGTAACTTTGATAAACAGCGTTAAATTTTTGAGAGATGAACAA